TAAATAAAATCTTTAAAAGAAAAAAAAAAGATACTGGCCTATTATTAGAGTCCCATTCAGTCCAAGCCATCATCATACTGTATGAAAATATCTCCCAGGATGAGGCCACTCATGTTCACAGGCTTTCATTTGATCTTGGCAGGTTCCAAAAGCAGGAGTGGCCTCAGTACTACATAGCTTCACTCTTTCAGGCATCTGGTATAATTGAGCTAAGACATAGTATCATCTCCTGCTTTGAGCCTCTTTCTAAGTGTTAATGAATTTGAGTTTCCTTCATTATATAAAAGTTATTTACTTTTCCACCTTTCGAAGGGACACGAAGTTCACTCATTGTGCAGCTCTAGATTGCAGACAGCAATATTAGTGTAGGAGGTACCTCCCCCTCAGCCCACTACCATTCATTTAGAGTAGGGTTACACAGATACAGAATTAGTGGGCTATTTTTACTATTAGACATAGCTGCATTCGCTGTTAATCATGGTTTTCCCAAATAGGGTAAAGGTACACTCCATCAGGTCCTTAGGAATTCTGACATAAGGATTTAAAATATAGTTTCTTACTTAGGAATCATCCCTGCTTCTGGAACTTAGAGCTGTAGCCTTGGTCCTGCAACCATTAGGTAAGAAAAAGAAAGTTGATGTGATAAGGGGAAGAAAGAAAAATTACAGTTTGGCCCAGTGATGGGTATTAAGGAGGGCACATATTGCAATGAGCACTGGGTGTTATAGGCAAACAATGAATCATGGAACACTACAACAAAAACTAATGAAGTACTGTATGGTGACTAACATAATAAAAAAAAAAGAAAAATTACAGTCATTAGTTATCTTCCCTTAGCCCTCCTTATGTTGAGTGTGAGCAAATACTCGTGAAGGCATGTAAGCCAGCCTTCATGTATGTATCTCCCTGTTACAGATGAACAATGTTTAATTGCCCATTCCAATTCTCTGTCAAACTATTACTATGAGGAAGATACTTCCCTACTCATTGTTGGACATTATGGGCTGTAAAGCATGTTCCTTGGTCTGAAGAAATAGGACTTGCTGATCCAAATTGGTGCAGTCTCTTCTCTCATGGTTCTTTTATAGTATTCTGAACATTTGCATCATATAGGTAATCCTACTTTTATTTTTTCTGAAAAACCACCATACTGTTTCCCACAGTGGCTGCACCATTTTACATTCCTACCAGCAGTGTACAAGTGTTCCAATTTCCCCCTGTCCTTGCCAACATTTCCCCATGTCCTTTATTATTTTCTGGGGTTTTGTTTGTTTTGGTTCTTTGATAGTAACCATCCTAATGGGTGTGAGGTTATACAATTATTTATATCCTTCAGTCATAGGGGCAGTGCCAACTAATGTCTAATAGCAAACTAGTAACTGCCCCTCAAATGGAAACCCTCTAGTCCAAAGTCCCAGTAGTCATTACTGTGGGGCATTCACAGGCTTTGCCATAAGCTCCAGTTTATATTCCACATGGGTCTCTGGTACACAGAATTCGCCCATAACAGCACTCCAGTTTTTATTTTATACTGTGTGGGCTTGGGCAATCTTATTTGTTCCCATTTAGCAATGTCTAACTAATACTGCATGAAGGGTGGATTTACATGCCTGGAGTTTTACAATACTGAGGAGGGGAAACATTACCAGACACAATATCCATCCATGTAATACACTCAGAGGAATAGAGATCCAATCACTTCATGTAAACATTCTAGTTTTCACCCAAATCTCTACTTTAATCCTATCAACGCTTAACATGCCTATATTCTCTTGATCTGATTACAGCTCCTGTTAGGGATGCACCAAGGGGTTTTGATACCGCAGTGCACAAGGTTCCCTTGTCTAGGAGCCCCAAAAACTACTCTTCTCCACTCCTGCACCATATGTAAAAATTAATCAGGCATAAAATATAAGATTCTATAAATAAACTTATAAACTTAGTGTTTATAAGTTAGCCCTGAATAAAAACATTCAAGGTAAACATTCAAAGAATAGAAGTTGAAGGTAAAACTTCCATGTTAGTAGAGGAAAAAGAAAGGAATAAAGACAAACCATTTGATACAAGAGAATGCAAGAAAGTTGGAAAAAAAGAGGCAAGGAAGGTGTGGTTAACAGCACACAATAAGCTGACAGAAGGAAATCTGAAAAATATTGAGCTATATAAATATTAGACAAAACAGATTAAGATAAAAATGTTATGGATAATGAGAATCATTACATAATAAAGACATTTACCAGAAATACATAGCAGTTTTCAACTTATATATACAACAATACAATCTTAAATTACATGAAGCAAAAATGTGCATAAAAATAAAGAGAAATTGGGGCGCCTGGGTGGCTCCATCGTTAAGCATTTGCCTTCGGCTCAGGTCATAATCTCAGGATCCTGGGATCGAGCCCCATGGCGGGTTCCCTGCTCAGCGGGAAGCCTGCTTCTCTCTCTCCCTCTGCCTGCCGCTCTGCCTACTTGTACTCTCTATCTCTCTGTCAAAAAAATAAAAAAATCTTAAAAAAAGTTACTGACAAAATAAGAGAAATTGCCAGATCCACAATTATGGGAAATTTAAAAACCATTTTCAGTGATTGGTAATTCTATCAGATAAAAATATAAAAATAGGATAAGCTAGATTTAAACATCTAAGGAAAGAATTCTACCCCGGTATTTAGAGAATACACTTTCCACTCAAGCATATATGGAACATTACACAGACGGACGGATACACACACACACACGCACACAGATGCACAGCAGGTCACAAAGTAAGTCTCAGTAAAAACCAAAGAATGGAGATAATACAAAGCATTTTAAGAAATAACCTCCCAAATCTGTATGTTTGAAAATTTGAAAACATACTTCTTTATAATTCATGAGTCAAGAAAGAAATCATGAAAATGAGAAAATGTTAGGAACTGAACAACAGTGAAAACACCATGGATCACAGCTCAGGACATGGTGTTAACTAGTACACAGAGAATAAGTTTTAAACTTAGATACAGCAATTAGAAGAAACATTTTTTAAAACTCTTAATGCACTGTCTTACCTAAAAATTTAGAACAACAATAATACAAACTGTAAATCCAAAGAATGTGGAAAGAAGAAAAGACGGACAATAGTAGCAAATAAAATCAAAACAGTATTAACAAAGAAAAAGGCTGCTTTGAAAAGATAAAAATTTCTGGTGAGACTGGTTACAAAACAGAAAGCAAAACAGAACACAGCTATCCATAAAATACAATTTCAAATTAAAAAAAAATGAATAACTTAGAAAAGTGTATCCTACAAAAACCAAGAAGAAATTTAAAAAAATCTGAATAGACTCAAAATTAAAAGAAATTTAGGCAAAAATCTTCCCAGCTCAGGGAATGAAAATTATAGGCCAATGCCCTTTATGCTCAGAAATGTAAAATTTCTACGTGTGAGCAAACAAAAATAAATTTATTTAAAAATAAATACATCCTGGGTGCCTGGGTGGCTCAGTTGGTTAAGCGACTGCCTTCGGCTCAGGTCATGATCCTGGAGTCCTGGGATCGAGTCCCGCATCGGGCTCCCTGCTCGGCAGGGAGTCTGCTTCTCCCTCTGACCCTCTTCCCTCTCGTGCTCTCTATCTCTCATTCTCTCTCTCTCAAATAAATAAATAAAATCTTTAAAAAAAATAAATACATCCTGACCAGGTAGGCTTACCTTAGAAATATAATAATGATTTAATAATAAAATCTGTTACTGCAACTCATCCCATGAACTGATGTGATGCATTTAACTGCCATTCATGCACATTAAAAAAATCTTAAAACCTTAAAAATGTATGCATTAAAGTCAGAAACATCATAAAAATGCCTGCTTTCACCACCTCTTTCAACATTATGTAGCTATTGCAGTAAACCAATGTAACACATGTACACATATTACATGCACAGATACTTCTCATGACTATTCGGTTAACTTTTCACATAGCAGCCTTTGAAAAATCTAAACTATTATTTTAAAAAGCCCCCAAACACACTAGAGTTTTTTAGTTTCTTTTTTTTAGAAAGTAGTTTTAGATGTCAGAATCTCAAGCAAAGCTATGTTCACCAAGTTACTCTTCACACTTAGTTCCATTCAGAGAATATTGTAAGGAGCACATCTGAATAGTGTCATTTGTTTGAACCTAAAATGTTTTGTTTCCCTGAGATGTACCTCTTCTTCGGAGAGGAAGAGGCAAAGGCTTTAGCCTGTTTTGCTTGCTCAGGTGCTACTGTGAGGAATGCCAAGAGCTCTCTCCCTTTATTTCCCCTAAAGGTGACTTTCTGTGCAATACCTTTATATTAAAGGGCAACATTACATAAAACTATGAGCCCTTTGAAGGTTGGCAAACTGTAGAAAATGGCGAACAGGAAAATGGTGCATCCAAAGAATGACTCCCTCTTTTTCCTATTCCAGAAACCAACACCCGACTATCAGGTCTTCTCTTCCCCACTGACAAGTGCAAAAATTCTTAATACATTTTACGTACAAACTGCATTTTTAAACTTTCAAAGTTGCTATTTCATTTTTCAGTGGATTTTTTTTTTCCTGTTTGAAAATGGTCTGGGTAACTTGGATTAAAATGTATTATAATTTTTCTCATTAAGACTCGTGGGGGAAAATTTTTTTTTAACCTAACGGCTTTTCATTTCGTAACTGAGCTTTCAAGAGTGAACTGAAGACAGTAAGCCAGGGACAGGTTATGAAGCCAAAGTTGAAAGACTTTCCCCGAAGGCGGCCCCCGCCACGGGACCACCAGCCAATCACGACTAGAAAGAGCCCGGCCAGGCTGCGTCCCCAGACCCAAAGTCACACACCCCAGCGTTCCGCCTGCGCAGCGGGGGCGCGGACAGCGGTTCCGGGGCTCCGCGACGACGCGCTGCCTGACCCGTAGGAGCCGCCGTCGGCGAGCGGGCTCCCAGGCCACGACGGGTGCCGTCCTCTTCGCCGCACCCCGCCCTCCCCCACCCCGCCACCGATCCCTCGACCGGCCGACATGGTTGAGGCGGATCGCCCCGGGAAGCTTTTCATTGGCGGGCTCAACCCCGAAACCGATGAGAAAGGCCTAGAGGCCGCGTTTGGCAAGTATGGCCGCATTAGCGAGGTTCTCTTGATGAAAGATCGAGAAACCAACAAGTCCAGGGGCTTTGCGTTCGTCACCTTCGAAAGCCCCGCAGACGCCAAGGCTGCCGCCAGAGACATGAACGGCAAGTCCCTGGATGGTAAGGCCATCAAGGTGGCCCAGGCCACCAAGCCGACGTTTGAGAGCGGGCGGCGGGGTGCGCCGCCGCCGTCCCGCAGCCGCGGTCGCCCGCGGGGCCTGCGCGGCACCCGCGGGGGCGGCGGCGGCCCGCGGCGACCCCCCTCCCGGGGCGGGCCGGCGGACGACGGCAGCTACGCGGGGGATTTCGACCCGCGGCCCTCCAGAGCCCCTATGCCCATGAAGCGCGGGCCGCCGCCGCGCAGGGCCGGGCCGCCCCCCAAGAGGGCCGCGCCGTCGGGCCCGGCTCGCAGCGGCGGCGGAATGAGCGGGCGGGGCCCGGCCGCGCGCGGGAGAGATGGCTATGCTGGCCTGCAGCGCCGGGAACCGCCACCCCCGCGCCGCGACCCCTACCTGGGCCCCCGGGAGGAGGGCTACTTGCCCAGAGACGGCTACTCGAGCCGAGACTACCCGAGCGCCCGCGACCCCCGCGAGTTTGCTCCGTCGCCGCGAGAGTACACCTACCGCGATTACGGCCACTCCAGTGCCCGCGACGACTGCCCGTCGAGAGGCTACGGCGACCGAGACGGCTACGGGGGGCGCGACCGCGACTACGCGGACCATCCGAGTGGAGCCTCCTACCGAGATGCCTTCGAGAGCTACGGGGACCTGCGCAGCGCCGCCGCAGCGCGGGGGCCCCCGCCTTCTTACGGCGGAGGAGGCCGCTACGACTACTACCGCGGCTGCTCGCCTGACGTCTACGGCGGCGGCCGCGACAGTTACGGCGGCGGCCGGAGCGACCGCTACTCTAGGGGCCGCGACCGGGTAGGCAGAGCCGACCGCGGGCTCTCCCCGTCCGTGGAGAGGGGGTGCCCTCCCCCGCGCGATTCTTACAGCCGCTCTGGCCGCAGGGTCCCCAGGGGCGGAGGCCGCCTGGGAAGCCGTTCCGAGAGAGGGGGAGGCCGCAGCAGATACTAAGTACCGACAGACTTGGGACCAAAATTCCGTTTTCAAAGAAACTAACGAAAAGAAGAGTCTGTGTTCTGGTAAACTACCCAAGGACTAGTACAAGGAAGAGTTGTTTTCACCTTTTAAGAATTATCTGTTAACTTCCTCTCCATAATTTTTGTGCTTTGGGGAGGAAAAAGTTAGAACTCGTTTAATTGCGTTTTGGAATTGTTAACGTTTCTTTCAACAAGCCCATGTTAAAAGTATAAGACTTGAACCTGCGTACTAGTCTTCTTATATTTTCAAGTAAAAATTCTTCTAAAGGCTTCCTCGCTTCTAAATTTTCATGATAAATGAGACAAACAGTTCTAAGATCTTTTACAAACATCTTCCCACCAAAAATGGAAAAACGGATCATTCTGTTAATTCAAACCAACTAGATTTTTGGGGGAAGAGTGGGAGGGAATTGGTGTATACTACTCTTAAGATTTCAGGGTATCTTTCAAACCCAGGCTCAATGTTCCCAATATTTTTTAAAAAATGACCAGCAGCAACAACAAAAATCACTTAGATGCTTATTTAAAGGAAGTTCTTTTCACTCTGTAAGTAAAAAAAAAAAAAAAAAAAAAAAAAACTAGCAGCAAGATGGGCAACCAAAACCTGGCCTGTCAGGAAAAAAAAAAAAAAAATTTTTTTTGGACAATGCTGGCCATATTTTGTTTTTTTGCCTTTTCTTTGGGAATCTGCAGGACCTCCTGTCCCCTTTCTCTCAAAAATACTGTTCATGTGTGTTGAACAAGAACGGAATACTAAATTAAAGATTTGACCAACCAACCACACAGCTGCAAAAATTCCAGACAAACATCAATTAATAGCATTTATTTTCACTACCAACAAATTACTAAGAAATAAGTAGAAAATACACCAATAGTGGATTTGGGGATCATACGGCTTCCATTTCCAACTCCGAACTACTTGCCCTTGGTTCTAGAGCCAGCTCCTGGCTCTGGTGGAGAGAATTAGGCTTCTGCCCCCAGGGGTGGAGGAATCAAAAGTGAGCAGCATCAGAGCTCAGAAGCTCAGAGAATTACTGAGAGAGCTTGGCATTTCAACATCTGAGGATTTTCATCCTGGTATGAGGGACCTGGGTCTACCTGTCACAAAAGGCAAGGGGATGGGTTGAGTGTTCTGTACTGTTAATGTGGGGGAGAAGGGCTTGAGCAGACAAAGATCAGAGAGGCTTCCTCCAGAGTGCCTCAGGAGGGATGTAACAGTCTCCTCTTTCCACCCCAAGCTCAGGGCAAGAAGCACGTTTTCCAGTCAGCGCCTGTGGAATTTCCCGGTTTATTTGAGTGGAAGGTAATTGTACAGTCCAGGAGCTCTAGTAGCCACCAGAGAAAAAGGATCAGGTTAAAATAGTAGGATTCCTGTTCTGCGTAATAATTGCTGGAGGAAACAGACAAGCACCTGAACAACAACAGCAAAGTACTTAAAGAGATCTGAATGTACCACACTCACATACACAACTCTAAAAATATGGTTTTTTGATAAAATAATAAAGTAGGTGAATTACAGGAGAGGCTGCGTTAGTGAAAAAAAAAAAAAAATGCAGGAAATAGCTTAAAAAAAAAAAAAAAAAGGTCCAGGACTCAATCTGGCAAAAATGTGTAACAGCTTTATGGAAAAATTGTTAATATTTATTAAAGGACCTAAAAGAAGACTAAAATTGGAGGTGTGTATCATGTCATGGTTGGGAACACTTTTTATTCTAACTTCTCAATCTCACCAAATTAATTTGGAAAATCAATACAACTTCAAATGAAGTTACAACATGACTTTTCCACACAGCTCTCTTCTCTTTCTCAATAATACCCATTTATATGTGTGATCAACGATGGAATACTGGGTAAAAGATTTGGCCAACTGGCCACAAAACGAAAAAAAAAGTAGCTTCAATTCGCTACAAGCAAATGATTAAGAAACAGGTAAGAAAAAGACACAAATGGGGGATTTAGCTAATAATACTAAAGCTTATATGGTGGAATAAAGACCAAGAAGAGCCAAAGCAATTCTGAAAAAATAATTAGAAAAGACTCACCCTACCAGATATCAAAACTTGTTACAAAGTTAGAGTAATTTAAGCTGTGTGATATCAACAGACAAGGATAGACAGACCAACAGAACCAAAATAGTGAGCCTAGAAACAGGCCCACTTGCATATGAAAACATGATACATGACAGATGTAGCTTTGAAAGTCACTGATGAAAGGATGGACTTTTTTTTGTTTTTGTTGGCTATCTCTTTGCAAAAAGATAAAATGAAATTCACTAACCCAGCATACACAAAAATACATTCTAGGTGGTTTGAAGATAAAAATCTGAAGAGGAAATTTTTTAAATACTTAGAAGAAAATGAAGAAATGTATCACACTGGGGTAGAGAACTTTTTAAGACATAAAACACAATCCTAGAAGGAAAATTTTTTTTGAATTTTCCACGTTATTAAGATATTTTTTTATGATAGGATACTTAACCGTGAAATATCAAACCATAGATTGGAAGAGTTTATTTGCATTGAAATAACTTCCAAAAGAATGCTTAGGAGGGGGGGGGGGAACACCAAGGAAAAAAACGGGGGGGGGGGGCCAAAAGGACTGATACCTTTCTGATAGAGGTATAAATTGACATAATCACTGGAAATAATTTTGGCAATACCTAGTAAAGTTGGTGGGTGCATACCTTATGACCCAGAAATTCCACTTCAAGGAGAGGACCTAGAGAAACTTGCACATGTACACAGGAGATTTGCTCGAGATTGGGCCTTACTGCACTCCTTGAATGTTAAAAAAAATAGTACCAGTCTGCCTGGAGTGGATCAACGTGGGGTTTATTCTTACAATGAAGTTCAATGTAGAAGCCAATGTGAATCAACCAGATCCACGTGTAACAACATAGGTAAATATCACAATATTTGTTGGGTGAAAAGGGCAAATTGCATAAATAGAGGTGTATTAAAAAAATACGTGATTGGAGTGATACACAGGAAATCGGGAAGTTTAGTGTGAGGAAAGGAAGGTGGGGACTGGGCTTTAGCTGAACCTGCAGTGTTTTGTTTAACAGATGGGTTTTAAGCAAAAATGACAATGTCAACATCTTACATTTCTATGTACATTAGCAGCTCTTTGGTATTCTATAATTGTGATACTTTTCACACTATAAACTTTAACATGAAAAATAGAGCTTAGCATAGCACCAGCATATAATGGCTACTCAAAAATGTTAACTATTATACTGAAACTGTCTTTCAGATATAACACTCTTGACAATGACTGTCCCTCTTGGCTTTGTTTATGGGTGATGCCTTATTCTATTTGACTCAGTTTATAGAGCCTGCTCTCCTAGACTGTGCTCACAGCTGGCTCACCATAACCTCAAGGGTGGCACTTGCATATCTGAGAACCAAATCTTAGAGGAAAGTGTAGTTTTTCCCTTTGACATTCTTTTTCTTTTTTTTAAGATTTTATTTATTTATTTGACAGAGAGAGACACAGCGGGAGAGGGAACACAAGCAGGGGGAGTGGGAGAGGGAGAAGCAGGCTTCCCCCGGAGCAGGGAGCCCGATGCGGGGCTCGCCCTGAGCCTAAGGCAGCCGCTCAACGACTGAGCCACCCAGGCGCCCCTCCCTTTGACATTCTTTCTGAAGTATAACAGCGATGAAAACCTTTTTCCAATTAACAAAATGCCAATTTCTGAAAAAAAATCTCCTGAATATTAAACTATTAAAAAAAAGTGAGGTATAAACATTTGGAAATAAAGTCTCCTGCAGAGCGTAGACGAGTTCAAGAGGTCATAGCGTACAAAGGCTGTGGATTTCTCATGTACATATACGGTAAAGCAGCCTCAATGCTTCTTTACTGGAAATTAATGTATAAAGCTATTTTTGTAGGAAAATATGTAAGAGATAGAGCAATTGAGAACTCTTGTTTATAATTGCTTTCCTAATGATGAGAGAAAAAGCATACCAGGTATTTCGCAGGACATACCCACTGGGTATAATTTAAAGACTGTGCATCTCAATAACTAAAACCTTTGTGTTCTCTGTCTTGAGCTTGGCTCAGTCTACTCCTGAGACCCTATTTCCACATTCCTTCTGTCCAAAACAGGGTTCCAGGAGCATCGAAAGTATCCATGTGGTCCCTGACAGCATTACTGAGTGTTCCCCCACCAGATGAGGCCTGAACATCTTCCATCTTTGATTGCAACCTGAATCCTGTTGTGGGTCCTGGGCCTCTCCTAGAGTGCTGGAGGTAGACCTCTTTCCTAGAGGGCAGTAGCTGCCCTTTCTCCCTTGCCTCAGGCCCCATAAGATGGGGAAGATTTTCTGCTTATATTCCTTCTACCTGGGACCTCTAATACTTCTCAGCCTTTAGATTATTGGGGTTTGTGCTGCCACCCTTTTAGCCTTTACCTTAAGAAAGGTGATGTGATTTCCCTTCTCTTCTTGCACAGAAATTTCCTTTTTGGGGACAGTTACTCTGTTCGTGACTCTTGAACATATTTAAGAACTCACCAAGCAGAATCAGGTTGTGTTGCTTTTGCTGTGCACATATGGAATCCAGTGGTAGTGGGAATTCTTTTCAGAATTCAAATATTCTGTTTGTGGTGACATTGTTTCTGAAGCTAATTTCTCTTACAGTATGGCACATCTGAAAACTCTTTAAAAATTATTCTCAGTATAAATACTTTGAGAGTGACATTTAATGTGGGTATCAAGTGCAAAAAATAAACTGTAACAACTACAAAGCAGCAATGACTCTGTGGAATGCATTCCACTATCATATTTACTAAAATGCTCAAGGAGAATGAAAAAAATCTGAGGATGTATTATGAAATTCTTAGGGAGAGCATTAGGAAAAAATAGTGAAGCTTTGTTGTTTAGAGGCTGCTTATTGTAAAAGGTAGTCTTGGTCATATGCCTGAGTCTTCATTCTGTTATTTAGGTGACTTGGACATTTTTTTATAAAGATTTT